ATATCCTTTTTAGTTATATACGTTTTTCTCCATACAGATGAGGTGCTTACTGTTCTTCAGAACTTTGTCCTGTCTACTACAGAGAGCATTTCTGAATTTATTCTCAGAAGACTTACTATGAATGAGCTAACTAGTGTAAGTATTCATTTAATTGACTTTTATTCATTCTTTTCACCAGTGTTTGAATCAGTACTGATTAGCAGCCCCTGTTTTAATTTAAAAAGAAAAATTATTTCAGTGTGATGGCTTTTTAAGAGGTGGCCTTAGAAAACCGGAAGCATGGGTTTTGGAGTCAGGACACGTAGCTTTCAGTTCTGCGTGCATTAGGCCCAGCTCTTTAGCTCTTCTGTGTCTCGGGTTCCTCAGCTGCCAAATGGGAATAGTGGCTCTTCCTGGATTTCAGTTCTGCCAGTGGCTCTGACACTTCTGTCTCGGCTTCTGAATGAATGATGTCCTTTAGAAAGATCAGTGTGAGGCTGGTCCCTGAGTTAGAGCTTAAAACTATCCCAATTGTTCACCTTTTCAAACCTACCGTACCATAGACTGTGGTATCTATCACCACTCCACTCTTAAGTCCCTGGGTTCTGCAAAACACTACAGCGGCTCTCAGAACCCATGTAGTTATGGAGGCTGGCAAGTCCCAAACTTGCTGTTCAGAGATCAGTCGGGAGGAATCCTGTCACCCATATAGTCTCATGAGCTGAGGAACCCAAATTTTCGGCAGGTCAGCTGGCAGGCTGTTGATGCATGAAGGTCAGGTGATGGGCTGAAAGTCCCCTGAACTGAAAATCCGATGTAATGAGTCAGATGCACGATCCAGGGAAGAGATGGAACTTTCCAAAGCCCTGCTAATATGTCGCAGTCAGACCATGCCCCCTAGTCCTGAGTTTCACTGTGACCCTTTGTCGCCGTTGTTGTTAAGTGCCGTCAAGTTGTTTCTGACTCACAGTGACCCTGTGTAGCTTTTCTGAGGAGCAGATGGTGGGTTTGAACTCTTGACATTTCAGTTAGCAGTCCAGTGCTTCCTCTACCATGCTACACCAGGACTCCACTTTGTCCCTCACTTCTTAGCAGCTAATTTCAGAATGGGCTCAGAATCACAGGCACAGAGCCTAGGATTTATAATGCGGTTACAAGATGTGCCGTATACAGTAATTAACTGCCCTACTGCCTCGGACCTAGCTTCTGAGTCTAACAATTCATACAGTTGTTATTTGATAACTTTGACAAGTTATCCTATTCAAAACTGAACGTGTTATCATCATTCCTGTCACCAGGTTCTCTGGGGTCTTTTCCACCTGTTCTTTCTTGATGAATAGATCATCCAAGCAGTTTCTCAACTCCGAGTCTTCTGGGGTGCATTTATCCCGCACTCTGACTCCTATGATCATCCGATTGCCCAACCTCATTTGTACCTTTCACTGTACGTCTGTATTCTGTCCTGTCACCTGCACAGTGCCTGGCGTGGTGCTGTTGCTGAGTGAAGACGGAGTGAGATCATGACTTAGGTGTTCACTGTGTGCCCCATGAGGCAGGTTGCTGTAGCGATGATAGTACGGCCACCACATGTTGTTATGTGCTGTGGAGTCGGTTCTAAGTCAGTGACCCCATATAGGGTTTCCAGGGAGGAGCTGGTGAGCTTCAAACCAGCAACCTTTTGGTTGGCAGCACAGTGCTTACCCAACAGTGCACACGACTCCATGTAGTGCCGCTTATGGGGGTAAACATTTATTCTACGACCTCTCACTTAATTCAAGCACTAACACCGTAATGGGCACTTGTCCTGTTGCATGGATAAGGAATCTGCAGCATAAGGAGGCTGGGGCACACCGCTGCTGACTGGTGGTGCTGGACTGAACTTGCTCTCCCTTTATCGCTCTGAGACTTGGGGCAAGTGTTCTCCTTTGTCTCCTCATTAGAAAAGAAGGGGTGCACTCTTCTTCCTGGTGAGAGTTGAATGTTGTGAATACAAAGTGTTGAAGATGAGCTAGCGGTGGGAGAGCACGATTTGGTCTTTCCGGTGCTCGTACCCTAGGTGGACAGAGGAGTGGACAGTGAGAGGCACCATGATGGTGTTGAGTGGAGAGTCCTGGGTAAGCCGGGAGAAGGGTGTCTAGGGCAGGCTTCTTGGAGGAAACCATGTTTTCTCTCATAACCATCTTCAACTCATTTATCTGTTGCCTCTCTCCTCAGACATGTGTGACCATCATGTGCCCTGTGCTTGTACCCGTCAACTTTTTAATGTTTCTTTTAGGTTTCAGATCTGGATCGCTGCCATTTATACCTGATGGTATTAACTGAGCTTATAAATCTCCATCTGAAAGTTGGGTGGAAAAGGGGTAACCCTATCTGGAGAGTGATTTCTCCTTTGAAAAATGCATCCATTCGGCATCTTCAAGAGATGAGCTGCGGAAAGGTAATCAGCTTGGACTCAAGGTTTTGTGGTTTGTTGAGTAAGCCATGCATGGCAGACTTGTTGTTACATAGTATCTTGATATTATAAAAAGCATTGCTGAAATCAGAATTTTAAAATAGTACCCTTCGGTGATTAAATTATATTAGGCTTGGGAATCCCATCATAATAGAAGGGGACTTCAAAAATTCCATGGAAACATGGTAAGAAAAGATAATGGACTTTTTCCACAAAGTTTTAAAGCTTCTTTCTATTAAATATATAAGTGAGCCAGAAAGTGTTGCTGGTAGAGTTCCAGTTAATCATGCATGGATTCATTCCAAATAACACGTGTAAACATGCCTCTGCGATCAGTGGATGGCTGCAGACAAGGCCTCTTAGTGATACACTTGTCTTAGGTTTGCAAAGGTACCTTCAAAAAAAAGATACATTTTGCATCATGGAAAAAAAACAAAACAAAAAACGGTGTTGAGGTCAGGGTTAATAGAAACTTTTTAACTAAACTCAGGTGGACATCTTCTCAAATCATTGAAACTTTACAGCAAGTTAACAGAAATGCTGCCCCACAGAAAACGATAGGATCTAGGGCTTTAAGGAGAAGACAGAGCATCGGCCTCAACAAAGACACTGTGGCTTACTTACGTGCAGGAGCTGCTGGCAGAAGCCTGTCGAATCACCCTTGATGTGGGAGCTATACAAGTTGGGATCCCCATTGATTCTGCCTTTACACTTCTAAGTGAACATCTTGGCCTCAGCAGGCTCTTGGCTGCATGGGTGCCCAGAGTGTTGTGTGAAGATCAGCGAGTTCAAAGAGCATGCCTTTCCATTGGTTTTGTGCCGAGAATGAAAGTCACGAGGACGATGGGATGGAACAGATCATAGCTAGAGAGGAGCGAGTGTTGGATTCAGCAGTGCGATCCAGAGAGCACTGTTGAGTGAAGCCAGCCGTTTCTGAGGGGTCTGCTGAGCTAGTTGCATTCAAGGCAGAACAGTTAGCGCAGAAGGTTATGACGACTGGCTTTGTGACTGCAAAGGAGCAATTTTGGTAGATTTTCTCCAAGGAAACAGCATGATCCTGAGGGCTTATCAGGAAAAAGTTTTCAGAGATAAAGGCCGGGAAAGTTGCCGGATCATTCTTTGTGGTAACCAAGGGCTGTCCTGTGATAATTTTGTTGGGAAGCCATACATCTTGCCCCTCCAGATTTCTTTTGTTCCCCAAACTCAAAGAGCATTGAAAAGGGAGATGACTGGGGTCCTTCTGGAATGTGCAGACTGCTGTTTTCACATGGTAGGAACTGAAGAGCCGGAAATCCTCAGGGTAGGATAAGAGGGCTGGAAACCTTGCTTTCAGAAGTGTACAGCTCTAGATGGAAGACATGCTGAGAAGTACTAGCTTCACATTTTGATATTTTAATTTAATAAAGGTGTCTGTGATTTTATGGCAATACTTTCTCACTTACCCTCAGATAACAGATGTGGTGATTTCATTCGTAAAATCATTGGTGGTTGTTAAGCGCCGTCAAGTCGGTTCCCACCCACGGAGACCCTGTATAGGGTTTCCGAGGAACAGCTGGTGAGCTGGAACCGCCAACCTTGCAGTTTGGTGCAATAACCTACAGCGCCACATCAAGGATCCTAAAATCACGTACAGATCATTGGCTTGTACTAAATGTTTTACCACGTACCTCCTAAGAGGCCACAGTCATGTATTGTGACTGCAGTCATCGGCCTGACATGCAGAGCCCCTGTGCTGGCCTCCTCCCTGCCTGTAGGCCTTCTGGTCTCATTCTCTGTTTTCCCACTGAGTAAAGTGTACATTCCTAGGCTGCTGCTTGTTGATGGAGTCCTCTGTGTATATGTGCCTTCTCCAATAGCTTCCTACACCTGGAGACATTTCTTAAACACAGTGCTCTGAGACATAGTGGTTACGTACACAGGCTTTGGATCCTAGACTTACTGTTGCTAACGGTAAACTTGGGGAAATTACTTCTCCCTCTGTGCCTCGTTGACCACACGTACCATTGGGATGTATAGGGTTGAGTGAGAATTGAATCTTCAGACCAGTTACCTGATACATAGGAAGTCCTCAGTAAATTAACCATTATCATTTCATAAAGCTGAATTGAAGCATGACTCGTCCAGGCTGTTAGTAAAGTACAAGGTAATTTTCAAGGACCATCCTGAAGGGAAACAATATAGAGGACTTAGTAACCAACACTTCCGCGTCCTCTCCAGTCTCTTAGTCCAGGAAAGTATTGTGAGTCTTCGGCGTAGACCAGAGTTGTGAGTTTCAGCGTAGACCAGAGTTGTGAGTCTTCGG